GTCCCGAGCCCACAGGCTCAACTACTCAGTCCCTCTGGGTAGCTGGCTGTGACCAAGCTGTGACTACTACCTTGCCTCTTGTCAGCTCTACTATACACCTGGGAATTCAGATCATACACATAAACTTATAGGACCATTGTCTGCCAACCCTATACATGTTCTTGGGTACACTCCCCGCCTGTCCACCCATCTGTCTACCCATATATCCACCCGTAAAACCATGTTCAAAAGTTAGTTTTAAATTTTAGCTTGGTGACTTCAGTGACTTGGCCATTGCCTTACAAACGAGGTGACAATGTATTGTTCATCTTTCAATTCAGTAAAATAAGACAACTGTTGAAGTCTGGGTTTGTCTAGTTTGTGGACAAACCCTCTCACTCATCCCCTTCCCCCACTTTTTTTCCTAATTTTTGTTATTGCCATGATCAGATTGTGTGAACAACTATCAGATCATGAAAGTAAGAGACTTACATCGATAGATTAAGTTACCTATTAGGTCTGATATGAAATACATTTAGTTGGGGGAGGAATTTAAAAGCTGTTGGCTAAAATGAGGTTTGGGTTTGAGTTTTTTATATGTATTTATCATGTCCATTATTACTTAGAAAATCGAGATTTAACTGTGTAGGAGCTGGTGAGTGATATAATCCATTAATATTAAATCAGATGATGTAGTCCTGGACTGTAGGTCTCTGGGCAGGCACTTTTATAATGTTCCAAAATTACTCTTTGGCGACAACTCTTCTTTTTAAAATTTTAACTTAAGAATAATATTTCTTTATTATTAACTGACTAATTTAAATAGCAGCATAGAGAACAAACATGTATTCTCTTTGTGGTTAGAAGTTTTGTTGGTTCTAGGGTATCCTACGTATCTAGTGCTGCTGTAACAGAAGTAACACAAGTGGATGGGTTTAACAAATAGAAATATATTTCCTTACAGTTTAGGAGGCTAGAAGTCTGAATTGAGAGCGTGAGCTTTAGGTGAAGTCTTTCTCTGTTGGCTCTGAGGAAGGTCCTTGTCTCTTCAGCTTCAGCTTCCTGGTTCCTTGGAGATCTCCATGTGTCTTGGCATCTATCTTACCCCATCTCTGCTCCCTTCTCTTGCTTGTTTAATCTCTTTTATATCTTAACCTACACTAATCCTGTTTCATTAACATAACAAAAATGACCCATTTCCAAATGGGGTTATAAACACAGGCATTGTTGTTGTTAAGTGAAATATCAAAAGATGGAAGGAATACACAGTGTCACTGTACCAAAGAGAATTGGTCAGTATTCATCCATTTTTTTTATTGTTGTTAAGTGCCGTCGAGTCGTTTCCGACTCATAGCGACCCCATGCACAGCAGAATGAAACACTGCCCGATCCCGCGCC